CACAATGCATTGTGAGATCTGATTCAGCGCTGTGGGAATACTCACTGCCTCTGTGTAGGACCCGTTGCTATGGTAATTAATGATCTGCACCTGTTCTGGCTCTCTCGTCAGATAGTCAGTTATCTATACTTGTGAGACACCCAGCGTCGGTCTCCAGGACCCTGACAAAAAACCATAAGCCCTAGGAAAATTTTGAAAACATTTTACATGAGCAGGCATGTGTATCTATGTCATGACCAACTTTCAGATCAACAGGCCGAAATTTGTGCCTGTGAGGGGGAGTTAAACAGAGTTTTGGAGTCAGACCTCCACTGTCCTGTGTGTGTGTTTCAGAGAGAAATCTTAGTGATGCTGTGAGTTCCTCAGATTAAAGTTTTTTCGTTTTTTTTAATTTATGTCGTCAATTTATCACAGAATCCCACTAAAAGTAATAGCTCCAATGCCGGGATCGAGCCGCTCGTTTTGATACCACTTTTGTGGGTGGGCACGCAGCGGTACGAGCCGCATTAACGGTAATGGAAGAAGAATAAATAATAATAATAATAATAATAATAATAATAAAGAGAAACAGAAACACTAGTAGTGAGAATGCATTGAATGCATTCTCACTGATAATAAAGAAAAACAGAAAAACAAGTAGTGAGAATGCATTGAATGCATTCTCACTGATAAAGAAAAACAGAAACACTATTAGTGAGAATGCATTGAATGCATTCTCACTGATAATAAAGGGAAACAGAAACACAAGTAGTGAGAATGCATTGAATGCATTCTCACTGATAAAGGGAAACAGAAACACAAGTAGTGAGAATGCATTGAATGCATTCTCACTGACTAGAAAATTCCGCAGAAATTTTAAGGGGCATGCCAAAGTGTGCCCGTCGGGTTTTAATCATGCGTTCTGATGCAAAAAATTAGCATTAATGCTAAAGAAAGCTTCAATGTAGTCAATAACCTGTGGAGAGTGAGAAGCAGGTGGACTAAGTTGTACTTGTACCATTCAGTATGTTGCATACGGTAAAATTAGCCAAAACGCTAATAACAGCATGAATGGTATCAGTAGAATGTGGGGTATCACTACCATGTTGTCACTTATTGACTCAGTCCAATGAGTATTCTAAACATGGCTAATAAGTAAATAAATTGGCTATAAGCTTATTTTAGGTCAAATGCTAATGCGTGCAAGGAAGTGCACTAGTGGGTGGCAGTGAAATGCTAATGTTTGTGCTGATGTTAATGAACTGCCTTGCTGCGCAAGGCAGTTCACTATCCTGAGAAAAAAAACATAAAAGAAGAATAATATTTTCTTGGTCATGAGATAGATACAATGCATAGGGAGAGCAGAGAGCAGAGAGCAGTGACTGACCTGCTTCGCAGGTCAGTCACTGCTCTCCCTATGCATTGCTATGGGCAGGCCCCAATTACAGGTGAGTTATCCTGAGTCTGATTAGACTGTGGTCTCCACCATGAGCCAAACCAGGACCAATTACTGGAGCTAACAGGGCTAAAGGAGCTAACACAGCTAAAGGAGCTAATAGAGCTAAAGGAGCTAACACAGCTAAAGGAGCTAACAGAGCTAAAGGAGCTAACACAGCTAAAGGAGCTAACAGAGCTAAAGAAGCTAACACAGCTAACGGAGCTTTCTTTGATTAAAAGGGAATAAAGTACAAAGGTTAACAAAATGACAAGTAATAAACCTAAAGACAGAAAAGAAACAAGAGNCCCCGTGATATCCTGTTGTTGGAGGGCAAAAATGTGCCAGAGATTACAGATAGCCTAATAATACACCGACTGTGTCAAAGAGAAATGGTACCACATTTTATTGATTTACAAAACCAAGACTCATCATTTGTGTTAAGAGGTTACAGGTAGTTTTCCAGATGATTCCCCCCAAACACTGAATTTTAACCACATTATTCTGTGAAACACGGTGGTTTAGGTGTGATGCTGTGGGGATGTTGCTCATTTAAACGGTAATCTGTCCTAATTTTGCAAACCAGAGATCATGAATCAGTTTGAATACATTAAAATTGTAAAAAGCTGGGCATGCTACCTTGTAGGATGACATAAGATCTACTGTTTTTGAGGCAAACCCAAGAAATGTAGAGGTGATCTACGATGGAGAGGATTACCTGCAGAATGTAAATTGGTTTTAATAAACAAACAGATATTTGCCACTTTACTTGGTAAATCCAGCTAAGCACTAAACAAGTATTTTAAAGGATCTATGCAAATAATCGTTGAATAAAAGGGGATTTGTTAGAAATTCACTAATCAGAGTTTCTTGGCTAATTTCTTATCTCCAGCTTTATAAAGCCTAAATTGCCCTTTTAAGCTGTTTAACATCCTATATCAGCGATTACAATGGTTAGAATTGGTAACCTGTTTGACATGTAACAAATATTTCATTGTAGAAAATTTAATTATCATTTGAGTAGCTTCAAGATTTTTTTTTTTTTTTTTGTGCTGACCAGAATAAGAATGGATTTTTGAATTGCCAGTGAAGGATCAGGACAAATCAGACTGAAAATGGGTTAAAGCCAGTCACCAGCTGATTGCTTAATGTAACGCTAACATTCTCACTGTAGATAAAACGTCGGATTAGAATTAAAAAAAGACACAGCTAAACAAGGTTTTAATCTAATCCATTGATTCAAATTTGCATAAGTCTCTTCATGGTCGTGCCCTGTAAGCTCGGCTTTTGTTAAGACCTGCAGGTAGAACATCAACGAGCTTAACACTGAACTGCCCCACTTTTCATCTTACTGCCTTTATTATCAAGCTGCTGTAGGCGAATAAAGAGGTCCGTCTGTTTGAAGCTCCGCCAACAGGAAAAAGCAAATGGGTGTCTCCACCAGGATGTGTTCACGTTGTTACACACACGGTTGTGTTTTTCTTTCCACAGAAATAGACACCGACATGAAGAAGATACTCCAATGTGGCTGGAAGGCCACACAGAGCCCGAGTGTGAGGGAGCGGATGAAATGACAGGAAGCGTCGAGTCTCCTGAATACTTGGAGCTTCCTCTCTGTGGAGTCGACCCAGCAGGAGGAAGCGAGGAGGGAGGAGAGGAAGGGGAAGGATTGATGGAGTATTCATGTGAAAGGAGGGGAGAGGACTGCAGTGACACTGTGACTGATGCACTTCTTCCTAAACAGCAAGGGCAAACGCAGGAAGGTGAGCGGCCATGTTTCTCTGGATTTATTTTCCTTTTAAAATAAATTGTTTTTTGGGGAGCGGGCAAGGGGTTATGATGTGGTTGTGTATAAATAAATTAACATTTACTCCTTTTGGCTAAAAGGCTTTTCTTAATATAAGAAAAAAAAACAACATCCTCCTACCTGTGTGTGTCGTGACCCACTCAACATCCACACTAAAACGTTTTAACTTTTAATAGAAAGTCATGAAGAATGTTCTGAGATTAGAGCTAATTGTACCATACAAAGGTGGGAAAAGAAGTTGTAAAGTTTTTCAGGTCTGACGCTGTGCCATGTAGGATATACAGACGTTAACAGGAGTTGTGATATAATAAACGTGGGTTATTATTTGAAACATTTTTTTTTATAACTGCTGTAATTGTATATGTGAACAAGTTTAGGTCAATAGCTTTATTATTTGAACTTTACACTGAACTGGAACGACACGTTCTTGTGCGAGTCCCATTTTCAAGAATTGCTATAAAAAACCCAGATCTCTGTGTATATTAATATTCCAGGAAAACAAGAAATCATTGATGCCAAATTTAAAGCTTCTGAACCTCACATTTAGAGGAAGTCGCCTCCTATTGCTACTTGCTCATTCAGGAGGAATAAATGCTGCAACTCAATGCCTTGATGCAATATGCTGGGTTTCCTAATATGGAACATTTTTTAAGCTAACTTGAATAATAAATTGAGCTTAGCACACTGTTTGAATTCAGTTGGAATGGATGCATGATAAAATCGAAATAATTTTCTTTTAGAAAGTGCCTCGAGACGACGTGTTGTGAATTGCTGCTGTGTTAAACTGAATTGAATTGGACTTCAAAACTTAAAGAAGTAGTTGGAGGATTTTTCTATAGATGATACCAATTGTGGAGCAGTTGGTATCATCAACTGCTCCATAGATAAAAGCTATTATTTCTGAATGAAGGGAGTTTTCTCCACTAAATTATTAAACTTCAAATAAGAACTGGATAAAGAACGAATTAGTCCTAAAGATTTTTTATTTTTTTTGCATCTTTAGCTATAGGGAGCATTTAAGTGAAGTGAGCACTGTAATAATGAATCACCATCATCCTAAGGTCCACTCATTTTCAGAAAGCACACAGAATGGAGAAAATAAATACATTAATTCCTCATATATCATGTGGACACTTGTGTCTCAGCCCAGCCTTTTTATAAACTGTTATGTAGCGCTTAGTGTGTGTATGTCCATGATGAGCATGCAGAAAAAGAAACAGGAGACGACTCCAGCCCTTTGATGTAGTCAACAGGATCCGGCTTTAATCGCTGCGTGTGCGCTCTCCTCTTCCTCCTCTCTGCCCAGGGTGACGTGGACGTCTCTGGCTTGAACCCCCGCCTGGACTCGACAACAGCCACGGCCAGATTCAGTCTCGGATTCCTACCTAGTCTCCCCACGCGCACAGAAACGCAACAACACAGACACAACGGCGGCCGTGCCGTCCCCTCGAAATGCCTCGTCGGTGAACCTCAGAGCCCCTCCGTCAGATGGTCCAAACAAAACGCGTACGCGCATCCCCCCACAGGAGCGCTGCCGCAGATGGATGACAACGCTAAAACACACCGAGAATGTGAACTCGATGGCCCACTGGGTTCGATCATATGAAGTTGAAACGTGACTTTTACCAGTGAAGCAAAGTGAATCCTGAGAATGTCTCGCATCGTCACATGTAGGAGAATCTAAACTTGTACTGCTCGTCTAGAAGCGGGTGTTATGAAGCTTTTGTGTAAAAGTTTGACAAAATGTCTCAAAAGTGAAAAAGTTGCACATCAAAGACAATCTTGATCGTACGGAGCAGGTTGGAACGAGGAATGTCTAAGTGATAAACGCCCTGTAGATACTGTATTATACTTAATAGGTCAATATTTTTGTTACGGACTGTAGACTTGACTGCATGCTTGCCTTTCTCAGCTCTGTTCATGGAAAAATGGAAACTTCTGTCCATGTAGCATTGTAAATAAACCTCTGAAACAAAATGACATTTCATGGTTTCCATTTTTATTGTCTGTGCAATACGTTGAGGGAAAATTATTCATTCATTAATGAACAACAATCTGATTAACCAACTTACTCTTTACAGAACAAAGACTGGTTCAAATAAATCATTTAAAGTCCACAACTACTGTGCGAATGCACAGCTGGAACTACTCATTTTCAGAGTGAATTCAGCTTTCTGTTGCTACGCGCTTGGATTTAAACATATTATTGTTTCCCAGAGTGTCAAACGGCGTTCCCTGTGTGGGGGAGCCACCCAGCTCGCTCACTCTCTCTGATGGTGTGCTCACATCTTCTGCAACCATGTGGAGCTTCTCCTCAGGCTCAGGTGTGAGGCAGGCAAGCAGAGACAATGTTAAAAGGAGCAGCTGCAGCTTAGTGTGATTCCTGTCTGAGACGGACGCAACCCACACATTGAGTCAAAGTCTCTAAAGCCTTTATTTTACCGTCTGCGCTCCTCGTCTTTAAATGTGAACTAAATAAAACTTACTTTGTAGAATGACCAATTATGTCCTACTGAGGCAGCTGTTCATGTGATTGGACATGTTCCAAAAGTTTCCAGTTGTGTGGTTTGTATTAGACTAAACCGTGAGCCAAAGATCTGCTCGTCTCACCCCCCCCCCCACCCTGAAACTCCTGACAGACAAAACAGATGGAGCGGCATTAATTCAAAGCCTAAACAATGAGCACATGACAGGAAGAGCAGATTAAGTATTCTTCCTCATGCTGATTTAAGCAGGAAAAAACAATGTGCGGCTATCCTGTGAGCAGAGCGCCGCTATTTGACGAGGCTGTGGCTGTAGAGTTGAATTACTGAGAATAGAAACAAAGAGAAAAGACTAAAGTATTCAGAAACCCAGAACTTCTTGACTTTCAGTGATTGGTTCAACTCACTGAAAAGAAACAATCTGACTGCTTGTCTTTAAAGTTCTCAAAACTCTTTAATTCAAATTAAGTTACGTCAACAGGTACATTAAATGAGTCAATATGACTCCATGCGTTACTATAGAAAACGTGTTGACAGTGAATTTACAGATAAAGTGAAGATGTGGCCCGGAACCACCTCCGTCAGCTGGATGTGTGTGTCCATCAGCTTTCAGAGTCCAAGAGGAAGGTCTCAAAGTTCGGGTTGAGCTCAGACACAAGCGCGTCCACAAAGTCCTCCATAGTGGGCCGTCTCTGCAGCATGCCTGTCTCACACAGAAAACACAACGGTTTTTAGGTCAGTCAGCCGAAGCTTTGGTAAGGCTCTGGTTTGAGCCAGTGCCACATTTTCATTTCCACATAAAAATCTTAAAACAGTCTAGCAAAAACAGTTTCAGACATTTTATCGTATAATAAACTTTCATATATTTAAAGTTGTGTCTGCAAAATGTGACATGTATTTGTGTTCATCCCCTTTGTTATGATAATCCTCAATAAAATCCAACTTGATCAATTGCTTTCAGAAATCACCCAATTCATAAATAGCACACACCTGTGTGTATTGATTATGTCTGTACCATTCTATGTTTGTTTTTTTCCTTCTTTTATTCAAACTGGACCTTTTTATGAATTGGTTGCACTGGATTTTATTTAGGGGTATTTATGGTTTGAAAACAAGTCTCAGGGTTTCCCACAGTGTATTATAAGCCTGGCGGGCCACCAGGCTTTACTTGTGCCCTCACCAGGCTTAGCAGGTTTTCTGGGGGGAAAACCCTTAAGTCTCCACCACACTTTTCAAATTTTCACCTGTTAAAAAAACCCCCCACAAAAACAATTCATTGACTGTTACTTCCACAGTGATAGAGGAACTTTTCTTCCCTCCGACTTTTCTGTATAACAAATGCGGTGGAGTATATATAAGTGCGCAGGCGAGAGCGAGCTCTAAGAAAGTCTGTGTGATTTCAGAGGCTGTCTGCCAGCTCATGCGTGGAGGACTCGCTCGCTTTACAATTCAGCTGCACACTTGCTTTGAAGTCAGTTCATTTCCCCTTGTGCAGCTGCCAATGTAAATAACACCCCCCTCCACCCCCCTCCTCTTTCCTGCATGGGTCACCTCCACTGAGCGCACACACACATATACTAACAGACCAGCATATCTGCCTGGACACGCATGACTGGAAATGAACTGAATACAGACTCACCAACACACACACACTCACAGTGGGGAGTTTATCCTGCTGCTGCCACCTTGAAATAGAGACAGCAGGTACAAACTACTCATCTTGCATGAGAACATTGGGGGGAGGGGATGGGGGATTATCCTCTCCTCTTACCCACCCGTCACACCCTGCCCCCTGGCTACAAGATGATACCAACGGTGCAGGGGTCTATAACACAGAGCGACCGCAGGGTTCCTGGATGCCTGGGAACGAGACGGCCACATGAAAACGGTGATATCCACCCAGCAGTGATAACCTTAAATCACAGCTGTGGCCACGGCTGAGGACAACGAGTTTATGGCCGCTTTAAACTGGAGACCCGAGTGTTGAGAACAACTGGATATTTTAAAGACTAAAGTTACACATAAAGTCCAACAGTTGCGGGGGAAGTAACTTGTTTTAAATACTTGTAACCTATTTATGGCCTGCAGCTCGATTCAGATGGATAAAACTTAGGAGGAGCTTTAAGAGTCAGCACCCGGTTAAAAAGATGATCAACATTTGAAAAGCACAGAGGTCAAACCGAACGATTTAAAGTGTTATTGAAAATTCATTTTCCATCTTCGAGTAAAAAAAAAAAAAAAAAAATTGGGCGACTTGCTGTCCTTTGAGCTCCACTTTGCGTATTAAATATCTGGTTGTTTTACATATTTCTGTTAATCTGGTGTTTTTCTCTGAGGTGAAACCTTTAGCCTGTAAGCCTCAAATCAAAACCTCATCATATTGTTAATTTACTTTTCCTCTGTGCAATGCACATGATTTGCTTTTAGGTGGGATCATTGTAAGTTAAGTTTTTTTTATTATTTCAAAATTAATTTGACTCCTAGTTGACCTATCCATGCGTTCTTTGTTGCTGCTAAATTAAAAACTGGGGGTCATTTCTTTTTGGGTGAATAGTTTGTCCCTGATTAGCCTGTGATTATTAAGGAGTTTGTTTTAAAGTGAAACAGATGTTTCTACTGTGTGAATACTTGAATAATTGAATGCAACAGAAGCATCTTAATCAATAATACTCTGCTGTGCTCAGTATAAAAGGGTGATCTGGAAAGGAAAAAAAATGCAATACATATGCTATGTATTTTTGGTCAACCATGTCGTATGTTAAACACTAATGAGTTTTTTTAGTATTTAATGTGACACAAACTCAACGAAAAGCAAGATTAAAAAGGTCACACAGTTTTCAAACATCGTTAAAATAAAAAAAATGTAAAAAAGTCTACATCCAGCCACCTTTACTCTAATACCACAAATTAAATGCAGTTTGACTAGTAGCATTCCAGAATAACCTAACTAGTATTTAAAGTTCAGCAGGGTGTAACATTTTCTCTGTATAAATACAGCAGATATTTCAATGAGACCACAATTCAACTTCTAGGTCAACAATGCACTTTGTGGTCATAAAGTAGCTCTGGAAACCGCCCTAAAATGACCAACTCACCGATAAAACACGGTGGTGGCAGCATCATGCTCTGGGGAATCTGGTTAGCTCTTTTATATGAGCGTACTACATAAAATCTCAGTAAAATATACTGGTATTTGTGCCAACTCCGTGACAAAATGTCAAAGGATGTGAATACTTTGACATTTATTACTTTGACATTTATTGAATTATTATTGCAGGCAAAGTATTGTTTCCACATTGGAAACAACCAGTCTCACTCTTTATGATCAGTTGTGACCTTTTTGATTACAAGATAATCCAAATAGTTTCAGATCGACTTCCAAATTAAACAGAAAACATTACTGAGTAATTTTTTTTGTGTGTCTATTTTGGCTCCAACGCCTGAAGAACAGATGAAATCTGCACATTCACACAGTCGGTCATCCATGCAGCCGGCTCTGCTTCCCCCCCCAGCAGCTGAAGCCCAGATACTCTCCCAGTCTTTTAGCATGCTTGATAGTGTTTCAGTTGGCAGAGGTTTATACTAACTCTTGGCCGAGCGCTGAGGAAAAACCAGAGCCAAACTAAACATAATCTGTGCTTTGTGTCCATTGTTGTGAAAGCTTCAGGATGGAGGCTCTGCCATGTGAGTCATCTCGTATTTAAGAGTTTCCATTTCCATTCATAATGGCTCTGACGCAGCCATTGATGAAGGGGCTTCTACCCGTTACAGTCATCTGAGGGCCAGCGTCGTACGCCAACTTGGCCGACAGAGTCTGGGTAAAACAGCAGGTGTTAAAGGACACATGAGGAGAAACGGCCGCTGGAGTTCTTTTCTTCAGAGTGCTTTTAAAAGCCCTTTGAGTGAGAACAGCAATAATAGCCCCTTTTCCTGCATGAAGTGTAAAATCTGATGTGAGGACATTCAAATCCATGACTCCCTCTGCATTTAACTACAAATATATTTTCCTGCGTGTGAAAATTGTGTTTTTTTTATTGAAGAGAAATGGAAAAACAAGTACCTACACTGGTATGTAGGTATGCGGAGTCTATGGAGAATAGCTAGGATGGTGGTCAAATGTAGAGCCAACATGTCTGCGTTTTCCTGCTGCTCTGTGCTGAGCTTCCAGACCAGTTCCTATCTAGTCTTTCCATTAGCTTTGGAGAAATAATAAATATCTGCTAAGATGGCAGTAACCTTTGTATTTATGGAGAGAAAAGTCACTATGAAAAGTTTGAGAAACACTGCTCTATTTAGAATATTAAAAACTGAAGTAAGACAGCATGGAAAGCCAAAATATTGAACAGTGTCTTCTCATATGACCACCAAACAAAAGTACAACCATGTCCGAATGTAGCCCTCAAAGCTACGCTCTGCTTAAACTTACTCTACAATCCAAAAGCATGTTTATTTACAAACAGGGTGGTGGGGCGATGGCTATCTGGAAAATGAAGAACT